AACACTGACAGGACAAGCTACTTTATATAAACAAAGAGCAAACCCCACTCCCTTTAGCACTGAAGATGTTACCTAGCCAGGTAACGAAATGTCTGCAAGAAAACAACCAAGTTCAGAGAACCCCAAGGACTACAGAGTTCAACCCTGAGCTACATATATTCTCTTCTGTTGATACTAGTACGGGGACCTGAGGACACCATTTCAGTTCACCAAAATGTCTCAGTCATTCTTCAGCAGGTGATTCTACGATATATCATCCAAACGGAGGGTAACATTTTTAGCTTTGCATGGTGATCTAGAATAACGCTGTGCCAGACATTTGTCCCAAATTTAAAATGACAGCTGCCTATACAGGCTCTTAAATACTGAGTCCTTGGCAGCTACCTGAAGGTGCCAACTGCTGACACTGAGTTTCTTAGGCTGGCCACTTTTATATACATACACTTAGTCTTTGCAAATACTCTCTCTCCCTTTGGCAACTTCTTTCAATATTTGGCTGAAATCAACATGTTGCAGCTTCAACTCCTGATGACAAAGCTGTTTCTCTCCTGGAAAGCTCTATTTATATCTGAAGCACCTGAATAACAGAAAAAACTTGATCTTTCTTGCCAGTTGGAATTGCAAGAAGGAATTAGTGGGTTGTGGACATAGGTGAGTTGAGTGTTATGTATTAAAAATTTTGAAAGCAGCAGTAGTTGTGATTTTCATTTTTGTTTTCCCTGGGATTTTTTCCCCTAGGGTACACTAGTATGAACATTTCTTCTAGAGGAGTTAGCAGGAAAAGATTTGAAGGAGATCACAATGGGTTAAATGCCTGTTTCTTCCTTGGTTTCAACAGTTTTTTTGCAGTCTGTTCCAACTCCCTTCTGCTATTTTTGTACAGATTATATTAAAGTTCACTGTTCTTATGTTAGCATCCTGTGTCATTTATCCAAGGGATTCAGTGTCAAAAGTTAAAGCTGTGCCAATGAATTCAAGAGTGCAGTAAGATGCTGCTATTCTCCTATAAGGCTGGCAGAGTCCTTCTCTTTCCATCACTTGACCTCACTTGATGTACTTCTTTTACTGGAACATAATTAAATGCAATAAAGATGAGGATGTCCTTGGCTCCAGAGTGTAGTTGTGACTGAAACACTTCCATAACCAGAAGACTTATTATGTCCTTCTTACACAGACCTTAAGAATCCCCAGTTCCTTTCAGATGAGCAGTGTTAGCCATGCCACTAAGATTTCTAAATAAGATCGCATATGAGCCCCAATCCCAGATTCTGTAGTCAGAAATTTTAGCAGCAGATGGATTAACTGATTCTGCATCAGTAAATAATAATCTGGTCATTACCACCAAGGTGTTACATTTTTCTTTCAAATTCATTAACAGAAGTGGCCTCTGGGGGGGGAAATGGCATTTTGCTTGAAGCAAAATGCTCCCATTTGGACTAACAACCAAATAATACTCATGAGTTCCTTGCTGCTGCTAACTTACATGGTTATGGCTAAAGTGGATACATTAAACCGAACCTGAACTTAATACAGTGTATGAACCCAGCTGGAAGCAGCTATCCAAAGTGTTCGGCAGAAGGTTTTTTCCAACATCTCCTCCTCCCCAATCCATTTTAGCTGAAGAAACCAGAGATTATATCTGGAATCTTCTGCATGGAATCCATATGCTTTTTTATTTCACTATAACCCTACTTCAAAATGCATCCTTCATAAAATGCTGCCTTGAACTAAGACATCACATTTAGCCAACTAGATGGGTATTAACTACAATTGCTGGCAGCAGCTTTTCAAGATCATGCCTAGATGTTATTTCCTTTCTGCTATTTAATTTGTTTCACTGTAGATCCATCAGGGACTCAAATTTGGCATTTTTGTGTGCTGTACTTTTGAAAGGAAAAATAAAACATAGCCACAGTACTGCTTTTCTCAAACCAGAACATCAGGATTTTATTCATCACAACTTTCTACCTGCATATTTATTAGTTTTCTTATTCCATGTAGAGCCATTTTTAACCTACAGATCTCCAAAGCATTGTATCTACACAAATAACTGTAAAAGGTGAAGGTTAAGATAGTAAGTTAGTTGCATCAAAAGAGTCTTAGGCACAAGATTTAGCAACTTGTTACAGGCCTAGACAGAATATAAGCATAGTGAATCCATAAAATAATCAACAAGGTGCAAATAGAACCACACCACCAAATAAAGAGTATTACCATGGAGGAAAAAAATCA